TTTATTTTATATCGCCCCAAATTATACAAGAAGTTATTATGTACCTAAATTAAAATAAAACGAACAATCACGTATAAGTATTATTTAATTTATTCAAATAGACATTTACATATATTAATTATATATTTTAAAGTAGAATTTCCAAATTTTTGGTATCTATATAACACTGATCGAGTATCCACATAGGTATGATAATAATGTTAAAACCTAGAGTTACAAACATCGGTACATTTGTTCCAAACATCAAGGTACACATTAAATATCACCTACAAAATTGAACAAGTTAGAAATAGTATAGGTTTATCAAAGGACTTACTAACAATAATAATCTATTGTTAATGTTAAAATATCGGCAGTGATGAGACAAGCCAAACACGCTGGTTGGTGTTGCTAACAATAAACATGTCGAGACCCATTAAATCAATAAATTTCTCAAAAATCAATACGATTGAGCTCTTTTTTCTTATTTTCTTTTTTATATCCACTGTTTACTACTAATTATAAACATTAAAATATGTATTTTAAATCAATCAGAAACTAACTACAATCACTCGAAATCTCACGTTGTAAGCACACGGTACTCTCAGACTCTAGAGCAATAAATTACGATTTTACCTTAAAAGTTAATTTACAAAATTAATAAATATAAACAATTGAGTATGAACTATTTATACAAAATCCATAATATAGAAATGATATCACGTGAAAATCACGATTGACCATTGCATTACACAAATAGACAGATATTGTAAATTAGTCAGCCTATAAAAATAGATTGCACATAAATCATTACGAAAATATTTTACTGAGAAAATTTTCAAACGTACTTAGCGTTATACTTGATGCTGTGAACTTAGTCCCATGTTAAAACTTCGCAAATTGTAATCGATTTTATAAATGACTAATACATAGTAGATTTTTTATTCTAACAACATCTAATAATGTTGCTAGTGCATGTAACTTATTACTAGATCTAGTGTTACCACATTTCTGAACTTGCTAACGTCAGCGCTATAAAATGTGCTTGTTTTTTATTGATAAAAAATTTACATTTTTATGGCCCCTTTGCAATAAAAATGTCTCCTAAACTCAAATACCCAAATGATCCGTATAAAGCGGCGCTCTGCAGCTCAAGCGGCAGGTCTCTACTCCATCTCTAAGTTAAGTACGTTTAATTAGATATAATTTTCGACACGTCAACTACCCCCTTACGATACCACATAATATTAAACTTTTATAGTAATCCTACTTCTTTACCTCAAATTTATGTTGGCTAATAAATCTTCTGAAACGTTAATATAATAATTAATGTATATTAATTAATTTTATATCTTATATACTTTAGATACGGATTTAAATAGACACACAAAATGGCTCCCATTTTGTGTTGAAATGTTAAATTCATCGACAACATGATTGAAGTTAATTATGAATTATAATTAATGAAACAACAACAAAGAATGCTAGTCGCAGAGAAGACAGATTTTGTTTGAGATTCAAACTGTTCCAGAAATGTAAAATATTGTCAAATTTTTTATGAAGCCTTAACCCTAAAACCATGGCACACAAATTATTTCTAACAAAGGAGGGAACTTTTCACAACTGGGATTTTTAAATTTTATTATCGTGTTTTCGATTAAAAACGCTCTCATTAAAACTTCAAAATGAAGATAGCAAGTAAGTATAGAATTCCGAAATCTGAGCAAATCTGTTCACGTATCTATTAAAGAAAAATGAGCTGAAAATATGTATGCTTGGTCGCTTTAAAGTCTCCACAGTCAGTCTTTCAAGAAACCTAATTTTTATTGAAACTGTAATAATAGAATGGAATGTGAAAGATAAACGAAGTATGAAAGAACCGCAAATAATAACCAACATATCGATGATCCATAGGGTAGGTAGGTCCAGGTGATTACTTCGTGTCAACTACAATACTTTCCGGGAGAGCAATTACTTATTCACTTCTACATTGTAAAATGCAATGTTTACCATCCTAAATTCGTCACACCTATACTAACACTTGAAATAGCAAGATGATTTTGAAAACTAGCAATAATTTTATCCGTTCTACCTACAAAAAATTGCTGTCCCGGATGAGGACGAATCCGTAATTGTCATCCCAAGTTGCATTAGGATGTTGTTGATTGGACTTAGGTCTCCAATTTAATTAGTTCCAATTGCTCACTCCAGGCGCGCTTTGTAGCTGGTCTTCCAAATTTCAGCAAGGGTGACAGCTGAGTGGAAGCGGTGGAAAATGCAAAGTGGCAGAGTAAAGCGCTGGACGAGAGACCAAGCCACGAAACCGTAGAAATCAAGTTGAACCTGAAACCATATTATACAGTAGTTAGTACGGAGTAATAGTAATATTAAAAACACAGATTTATTGAGTATGAATGATATTTACCGGGTTAGCGAGGACTTTTTGGGCTTCAAAGGTGTAGATGAGCCACATGGTGACGTTGCAGATAAGGAGGAAGGTGACGGCCTGACGGGCGGGCTTGCTGCGTTCTTGTTCAGGCAGGTGAACACGGCGGCGAGAAACATCAGCGATGAAGAGTAGTTGCAGAACCACCTTATTGAAATGAAATACAAAATTAGCGGTATTTTCACACCATTAGTCTTTAAATTTTTTATTGACCATCCATTGTTTTACCTGAAGCACGCTCAAGCAGCCAGTAATCATGACGAGAAGGTTTGGCTCGTGGGTGAAGGCTCCCATTCCACCAGCGATGACGCTGAACACGGCGTACACGAAGAGACCAAACGCAGAAACACGCAGCAGGATGTCGTTCAAGTCGGACTGTTCCTCTGAGCGGAACTTCAGAGATTGCACCCTGCGGAGAGGCTCGGTATAGGAGGGAGGAGTATTGCTCCATTTCATTACACGACCACTAATTATTATAATAGGAAGATGAGAACCATAAATGGTAAATAAACAATGAAAAAACAAAAGAAAAAAGGATTTGTGACAAAAAGAGAAAAATGCATTGGAGGAAATTGAAAATTGTAAAAATGTGGTTGATGTGCAAATAAACAAAAATCAAATTGGAGCCAGTTACGATATAAAGGAAATGCACAAACAGGAAAAGGACAGGAGTGAATGGAAAAGGAGAAAACAAAAAAAAATATAATTAACACAAAAACTAAAATCTAAAAACCAAAACATGAAACTAAGGTTAATAGTGTCTAAACAGGTGCTCTATATACTAATTACTTACCGTATGAATCCAATTAGAATGGCCAGTATAGAGAGAACCATCAGAGCACAGTGAGACACATCGGCCAAATAGATCGAGAGGCGCTTCAACTCCTGGTGTCTTATCAGGACGAAGAAGAGTATCAAGCAGATGAGGGAGGCGACGAGCAGTAGCAGTCCACAGAAGAGACCCTTAGAGGCACCGGCACAATCGACACGGTTACCACGCTGAGCCGCTGCAAGCGCTGCCGCCCTGCGGGAGAGAACAGCCTCCAGACGTCTTTCCAGATCTTCATCGTTGGCCACGCTGCAACCAAACGCGTGCAAAGTCACGGACGCGTTGATATTTCTTATTTTTTGTCTACTCTAAATGTGCTCTAGTGTTCGCAATGGCCATGGGGAGCGTGACTAGTGTTATGTAAAACTATTTTCCATAAAGGTGGTAACGAAAGGTTAGATTGTTAATTGCAATTTTAACTTGTAATAAATGGTAGTTATTTAAAGTGTGATCAATGTTATTCTACTTTTGGGGCCAAGTTATGGGTTATGAAATTTACATAATACAAAATGACTATATATTTACCTGGGGTAGCGGCCAATATGCTTCCACATAACGTAAATGACGGCGGCACCGATGAGGGAGTATTCAATGATGAAGGGATACAGATAAGGTGCCGAGTCGGTTACGATAGTGCCCATAATTGGGTTTCGGCCACACACCGTAGTATTATCGATATTGGCGATCAGCGCAGCTGGATTGAGACCGTCGAATGACTCGAAGATTTCTGACGTGTTGGTCACTGAAATAAAAGTGTTCAATATCTTATATTCTGGTCATTACATCATTTTATTAATTAAAAAACTAATCTACACATTAAAACTACAATCATCATTTGCTATTCTGATTTATTTGTATATATGAATTGATTATCCTTCAATTTAATTGACCAATGCTCACGAATTTGATGTTAGAAATATTGTAATTTGATGTTAGAAATATTGTATAAATAGCAAATGATTTAGGCATCAATTAGAAAATATAATTTACATGCAAAAGATGAAAAATAAATATTCTCCTAATAAAAAACAATGTGGGAACTCAGGTGCAACGGACGCGTACGCGGGGGTACGTATACGCAACAAACACAAATAATATGATAAACCGCAAATAAAAAGTGCAACGGCGTTTATACTTGGAAATAATTCAATGCGACACTCCAACGACCAACCTGGCGAATGTGGCGGTTCATCTACCCGATAAGTTTCGACACTATTGCCCCACTCGTCTCTATCAGTTAATATCGGTGCGGAAGTCGTACTTGGCATCATAGTCGATATAGCGCTAAGAATCGGTTTCAGAGTTGAAGTACGAAGCCACTGGAAGACTTCTAGCATGGCCGTCTGTGTCTGAGTCACTTTATCGGACTCCGTTGTTAGTGGTGCAAAAGATGTCGTAGTAAACGGATTGTCATTAGGCCATTCTCTGAATTCGCGACCATATCCCATCCCGTTGTCGTAACCTACCGTACTCTTAAGAGTTTCGATCAGTTTTGACTTAGGTAACCCACCACCCATGATATTATATGATGAGAGGGTAGTAGCTGAAAAATTAGTCCAAAACACATTTTAATTGACATACATGCATATGTTAGCTGAACAGGGATGATGGTAGTAAAATTGATACATATGAATACTAACTTGTGGTAGGAGTAGTGGTAGGAGCGGCTGTGGAGGTGACAACGTTCATGAGTTGCTCTCCAGTGGTCTTAGCGGTGGTTAAAACAGTAGATGCGATAGAGGTAGCGGCTGTGGTAGCTGCACCGAACACTTTACCGGAATGCCTCAGAGTGTGCTTACGGATGACTTCTGGAGATGTACGATTCATTAGTCACAAATACATACAAAAATGATACAATGAACAAATATGTATATAAGCAGATAAATTGCTATGGACTAGAAGGACATAAGTATTTTTTTAGACACAAAAGCAAAAATACTTTCTTGGAGAGACTGAACTGACTTACTTCCTAACACGCCTTCTCCTGAGTAACCATGAGGATTCTTAACGTGGTAATCGGTGATTTCCTTCAATGACTCCAGCACCAAAGTACGAATCCAAACGCAAATGTTTGTAGCAACTACATGCATCAGGCCGAACCGAGCGATGACTTTGAATCGATGAATGTTCAGCTAAAAAATAAAATTAAATATCAGTCACTGTTAAAACTTGTATTACTTTCAATTTTGCAATAAGTATAAAAAATATTTACCCGAGAATTCATGAAAATGAAATACATTTGCATGAATGTAAACACCATTTGCAAGACGGGGTTGACGCCTTTCAAGATCAAGTAGCAGGGCGACTCTAGAGGCAATTCGAAGAAGGTGCCAAACTCCAACCCGTTGTAAATCATAGTCCCGAGACCGAAAGCTAAAATGAATGACAAAATGACATAAGGAATCGCTCAGCGTAGCTAAGTCATTGATAACGTAGGATTTAATTTAATATAGGTACCAATAACCTAAGTCGTATTATATGTATAAAATATCTGAAAGTGTATCCATACCAATTGCTCCAATCCTAAGGAAGAAGCTGCCGTGGCTGTGATCATTCTGAGAAGTCTTGCGCCTGCGAACCGGTCTCGCAACAGGGCCTGCTTCCAGCTCCACAATATCTTGTTGTTGCTGTTGTTGTTGCTGCAATCGTACAGTTATACAAATGTTAATATACCATAAACAAATGTCGTATCAAGGACAAACCTGATACCTGGAAATTCTTACACTTCGTTCATGTTACAAGTTATTATTATTTTGGAGATTGACATCTTTTTGTCTGAAAACAAAGTGGCAATCGCAACTAGCGTAGAAACAATTAGTAAATCTAAATGAAAATCGGAATCAATTGTTGTTATTATCAAATCAGGAAATATCGATGCATTCTACCATTAAGTATATCTTTAGATCAAGTCTCATGACTTTCAGTGTGAATACGAAGCCTACATGAAAGCAAGGTGATCCAATAGCGAAAACAGAAGCAGTATGAACAGACGAACTACGACAGCACATCCAAAGCACTCCGTATGATATGATACACTCAAGCAGGATGCGTCAAGATACCTCACCTGGTCAGACGCATACAATTGCGCCATTTGCAATTGCAATTGCTGTTGACGAACTTTATCACGCATCTTACGGGGATACACCTCCTGCCCAAATGATATGGAAAAAACAAAAAAGTAGGCAGCGTAAACAAAAAGGGGTTCATGCGGCCTGATGACGGACGAAGCGTTGACCATGATATTTGTGAACGGCCAAATAATAAAATTGCGAATAAGTGCGTATCACAAAAAGTTAAATCAAATTAAACAAATCACATAATTCAAATTAATAAAATAAACATATGTGGTTATCTAACACAGGACGACACGCGAAAGCGATAAGAGAATGTGTAATAATGTTAAATACAAAAATAATGGATGTGCTGTGTATGATGGTGTGATGGAATCTACCACTCACCTGGAATTGACTTTGTTTCTTAGCCTCTTTGGATGCCTTTTCTTTTTCCTCCTTGTCTTTGCCTTTGTCTTTAGACTTGTTATCTTTCTTTCCTTCCTTTTTATCCTTGCCTTCTTTTCCATCTTTTCCTTCCTTGCCTTCCTTCGCTTCTTTGTCTTTGGTTTTCTTTTCCTTTTCCTTCTTAGGTTTCTTCTCTTTTGGCGGGGGCTTCGGTTTAGGAGGACTTCCGCTGCAGCATGCACTCTCTGTCCAATGCAGATCAAATTGTTTACGACATATATAATACAGTGTTTGAGTTTAAAACTATATTTAAAGAAAACATTACTAACCTTGGAGTAAAAAGCAGAAGACGTACAACAAAAACAGAATGCTCATGCCGTACAGGTAGGTGAAGAATCCCTCGTAGTAATAGAGGGGGAGGTTGTGTGTGATGACATCACTGATGACGTAAGCGATACACACAACAACCAAGAGCTTGGCGTAAATGAAACTCGAGATGATAAACAGTGAAGTTCTGTGAAAGAAACAAAACAATTCGTTAAGAATCGGCAAAGTTTTCAAATAGCGCAATAAAGATAATTTTGTTTAGAACTTTCAAAGTGTTATTGTACGTAGGTATGTATTAAGATTGTGGAATAGTCAATTTATTTTTGTTAGCACAGTAGGTTCACCCCTACTCAGAATGTTTTTATAAGACTATTCTAATTCGGTAATATCATATTTACTTATTTCTAATAATGTCCTGACATTAAGCAAAAAACCAATTTATTTCATCAAATATTATGTACATAAAAACACAATTTTAGAAAGAGGATGGACCTTCTAACTTTAGCAAGACTGGCTGGTAGGCACCTAATAATTACACATTGCTTCTATTATTATTTAAAATCACACACGCGCATAACAAAGCAATATGCGCACTTAAAATAAGTTCCGAGTACAAAGACATTGATTTCATACTAAACCCAGTTTATTACGTATGTAATCATAGACAAAGGTACGATTTTATAAACTAAACTTTTTAAATTGTAGTTCAAGGTGTATTTATTTATCACCTAAGTGTGTATTTATTTATAAAAAAAAATAAGTAATCAGACTGACTTACGACTAAAGATGTTAATTTATTTAATTATTAAGCAAAAAAAACTTTTGAGAAAAATAAAAACAAATTATTTCGAATATAATTTTGAATCGATAAAGATAACACTATCTACATTGCTACATTAACATACTTCTTAGACGGCTTGGGCTGGACACACTTCAGCTCCATTTCTTTGTTCGCATTGTTGTGCTTCTCAGCAATCGCCATGTCACTGCCCTGCTGCCGGTGCTGGCCCACCGGTAACGTAGCCATGTTGTCCACAGACTCCAGCTCCACCGTAGCCACCTTCACTTCAGCCTCCGTCGGCTGATGCTTATCTTTCCCCATCACTTATTACACACTTAGGACGTCAATAGGACTTACAGGGTGTCCATAATGGAGTACTCAGGGTTAAGGACAGGTATAGGATCGAGGAACGCGTTAAAAGACCTCCGGAAGTATTGAGGTGCGGCGCCGAACCGTGCCTCTAGCTCGAGTGTCCCGAGAGTTGCGCAGTAATGGATGCTGCGCGCCGGTCGTACTCCCAAAACAGGGGCGTCACCGACCCTCCGAGCACACCCCATTTTGTATAAATTGCACTCTTTAATAGCAAGAGGGTCTTTGTACCGCTTATAGAAGGATTGTCGAGATTCTTATCTCGTATGCAATGTCAGTTTATTTTTTGTGTTGACCAGTTTTTGAACTGCACGTCTTGGTGCATTATTTTGTTATACCTCTAGAAAACATATGCACACAATACGTCTCAGATACAGAAAAGGTGTCCTGAACAGAAATGTAGGAATGATTTTATTTTTATTTAATTTAAAGACAAAAAAAAAATTATTTTCCCATTCAACTTCAACATGGCATCCAACTTAGTCAAAGCAACAATCACAGCAATCCTAACAATTTTATACAACCACGAAATTTTAGTATTTTACACCCCAAACTAAATTTCCCAAAAGCGAGTTTTGGCAGCCCTACGGTGGCGGCACGCGGTCGATAGAGGCGCGTCTCTCCCGGAAAGCTCTGGGAGGCTGCGCGAGCGACCCACTGACCCGGCCATACCCCATCCCACCAACACACCCCACGAATAGTATTCCGAACCCCAATACTGCACATGCAAGTGTAATAATCACATTAATTCCCACCTACAACTCAATAAACAAAGGAACGAATCGTAGGGAGAACAAAGGGGAACGAATCATGGTTAGGCGGTTTGTGTTTGTTTTGCTAGCTAACCTTGAGAACTGCTGAGCTGGTTTTGATAAGACGTTTCGATTTTATAAAATAATAATTCCGACTATTGTAGTACCAAATTACCTAGAAATACTTGTAAACTACGTATATTTTTCCAAAAAAATATACGGTAGTAAAGATTTAAAAATATAAGTTTAAATATGATACCTACTCTATTAAAATAAATTGTGTTTGTAATAGCCGGATGAAAGCTACGGTGCGCATGCGCGATCCGATGTTCCGAAGCTTACGAGTTCATTGAACCAATTCAAGTAGTGCCAAGTTTACTATTTGTTATTTTTACGATATTGTTATCGGTTAATAGTAGAACTATATTTAAATCACGCTGTATAACATGGTGAATAGGATTTTTATGGCTATCATGGTGATACATATTTATGACTTAGGTACGATCAGTTCAGTATAAATTAGGACAATTAAAGCACTAGTGAAACCACGCCAGGAGCCCGAAAATTATGGTGGGTAAAATGGGTGCCTAAAACTGTATAATATAGTAATTAATATAACATCACAACGTTACTGTTATCTTCTTTGAAAAAAACAGAGATTAACGTAAACAGATATTGTCACGGACATGGAATTAAAAACACAATTTTTCTATTCTATGAGCATGGAAACTAATAAAATTATAATTAAATCAAATCAAATACCAAGCTATAAAAATCTCATAGAAAAAATACCAAAATAGAACCCCAACCTCTATAAATTACCCCAAAATACATAAATAGAAATAAAAAAAAAGGAAAAACACTATAAATTGCAATATAAGTAGTAACTAATTACTTAATGCGATCATTAATGTTAATTAGCTACATGCCACTTAAAAGCAAAAACGAATTCAGACGTTTTGAGCCGTAACCACTCGGTAATTGCAAAACCACGACGGTTATACCGAGCTCTGATTTTAGTTAAGACACTATAATTAGTGGTGACCCAGAGACTAACTGCTAAAATCGTCACATGCAATGCTAACGCTGGAGAGGTGACGCAACGGTCACTTGGTCACTTTTAGCACCATTTTAACCTCGTTTTGAGCCTGGATTAAATAGGTACTTGGAGAATAATGTTGGTTAGATTTTGTGTTGATTTAGATTTTAGTTTATTAATAAACTGAAATCGTGTGCTAACGTAACATCACGCCTTTTATCGCCGAAGTGGTTTGCAGAGGTGCACATTACGGCACTTAATGCCACTGTACAATGTAACACCCGCTCTTTACTATTTATGTTATGAGCCCCATGTAATACTGGGCACAATTCGAAACTCCGTGCTATTACTGGATTTTTTTAATAACCCAGTAATACTTTGCCCGACTCGGGAATCGAACCTGAGACTGGTCGGACAACCACTTGGCCAACGAGGCAGTCATTTCAGTTTATCTTTGACAAAGAAGAGAAATTTACAATCTGTTAGGTTAACTATCAGAGAAAATGTATTAATTGGAATTGCATATTATGAGTTGTATTACCTACTAGCTACTTCCGCGCGGTTGCACCCACTCTGCTCGGCTCCTTATGATCGTAGTGTGATGTTTTGTAGCCTATAACCTTCCTCAATAAATGTACTATCCAACATAAAAAGAATTATTGAAATCGGACTGGTAGTTTCAGAGAATAGCGGGTACAAACAAACAAACAAAAAAACAAACGTTTTAGCTTTATAATATTATAGTATAGATAGTATAGATTATTGCATTTTAATATTAGTGTTATTGCTAAGTATCTATGTTAACTTTTAAGAAGGATTACATACTACATCAGAAATAGAAATGAAATTACCAAATGAACGTTTTAGACACGTTTTAAATTAAGCACACGTGTCTATTAGTCTTATGCAACGATTTGAAGTCTTTATAAATAAGATAGCATCGTTAGGTATCATTCCAAGCCGGTCACTGAACTTCAAACTTGAATTGCTTTATATTTGACGCTGCCAACTTGAATGACAATACCTATAAAGAAAATATCCCTCACTTCAACGAAGAAAGGCGATTTGCAGAAACTCTTTTGAAGCGAAGTTTTATTGAAACGCTCTGTGACCCATTTTATGAACCCGTTGTGTGATAATGCTACTTTATTAGGGTTCAACGCGAATTATATTACATACGGATCTGTTTATCGGTGTTTTTAAACCTTTTCTCTTTGTATATTTTCTCTTGAAAGATGGGACATTATTTCATTGTTTTTTCCCGATTTAGTTTAGACAAAAAAAACGACGTCGTGGTGGACCGGTGGTTCAAGACGCTCGCTTCTCATGCATGAGGGTGCGGGTTCGAAACCTACCAACGGCAAGTACCAATGTGACTTGTTCAGAGTTATCTATATGTACTTTCTAAGATTATCTAGACACCACTGACAAACGGTGAAGAAAAACAGCGTAAGGAAACCTAGGCTTATAATTTCTAATTATAAGTTTGTAATCGCCAACCCGCGTTGAGCAAGCGTGGTTATTAATGCTCATACCTTCTCCGTGTGAGAAGAGGCTTTGCTCAGCAGTGGGCGGGCATTTATAAGCTGTTGATGATGATTAGGGTTCAACGCGAATTATATTACATACGGATCTGTTTATCGATGTTTTTAAACCTTTTCTCTTTGTTTAATTTCTCTTGAAAGAAAGAGATTTCATTGTTTTTCTCGATTTAGTTGTTTGTGTTAGCTTAGCTTCTCTGATAGACGAATCATTTCTTTATATATTATCATATGTTAAACACTACGTTAATGATGTAGAGATTAGATGATAGTGTAAACTGGATATTATTAAGTTATTCTTGATATATCATGGGGATCAAAAGGAATTTACGACCCAACCACAATTGAGCAGATTCAAAAACGTTTCGAGTCTAATTCCCGGACGGGACAACTCTTCATGTGATCGACATTGATTCGCAATTTTATTGGTATTCGAAACATGAGAAAGTCCTGGTATAAGATGTAACTCCTAATAAAAATGCAAAAAAAAAATTCGATGATTATCTTTTAATGGATTTGCTCTAATTGACCTAAATACATAATCCTTAGACAGTATTCCTAATGTTACGGAAAGGAAAATGCATAGGTACATATTGTCCCCCTAAATAGTTTGTTAGAATTAAAAAAAAAAAAAACATATTCTCATTTAACGAATATCTAAACCTAACGGCTTATAAATGCTAGTCTATCTCTATAGGTACAATA